GTTAGCCAGGATGGTCTTGATCTCCTGACCTCGTGATCCGCCCGTCTCGGCCTCCCAAAGTGCTGGGATTACAGGCTTGAGCCACCGCGCCCGGCCAAAGTTGACAAACTTTTAATTGGGGGAGACCAAGAGAAAAATAAAAGACAGAAGACTCAAATTACTAAACTCTGGAATGAAAAAGAGGACAACATGACCTACCTTAATAGGATTATAAGAGAAGGTATGTGAACATCTCATACCGCAGTCCTCTGCTGGGCGTTATTTAGTATTTGGTTCCCCTGAGTAGGACACTGTTACTGATTTGAATGAGTGCATATAAGAGAGTCGAAATACTGTGGGGAAGGGCACTAAATTATCCCTGGATGATCCCTGTCAATTATCATGTCCTCTGGAATTCCTCTTATTGGCACTGTCAACAGGCATTAAAGAGATGGAGAGGTGAGTGCCTTTGTTCTCCTCCTCAGGGTGCTTCCTGCTCCATCCTGCTTCATCCTGCTTCCCTGACTTTACACTCCTCTGGGGCAGTGCCAGTGAACCTAGTAAGAATGCTTTCACAAACATTTTAAGTTCTCCTTCCCTGTTTTGGTCCTACATTTACTTTAAAACACATGTACACAGTTTAAAACACACATACACAGTTTAAAACACATGTACGCAGTTTAAAACACACATACAGTTGAATGATTTTTAAAGGAAATTTACAAGAGTTGTGCAACCATCACTATAATCTAATTTTAAAACATTTCCATCACCCCAGAAGCATTCCTCGTGTCCATTTCTTGCATTTGCTTTTATCTGTATGGGTTCTATGTATTTCCTTTCTCTTCACCATCCCTTTCTGTGTCAGCTCCTTCTCTTTCACGTTGAAAAGCAAAAGGAGGGAGTGAATATTACAGATTGCTTACTACCAGCCAGACTCTCTGCTGAATGTTTTATATTTGTCATGTAATTTTTTACAAGTTTAATCCTTTCTCAGAGCATGGAAAGATTAAAATATCAGGCCAAGCATGGTGGCTCATGCCTGTAATCCCAGTGCTTTGGGAGGCCGAGGTGGGTGGATTGCTTGAGGTCAGGAGTTTGAGACCATCATGACCAACATGGTGAAACCCCTTCTCTACCAAAATACAAAAATTAGTCGGGCATAGTGGCACACATCTGTAATTCCAGCTTCTCAGGGAGGCTGAGGCAGGAGAATCACTTGAACCTGGGAGTTGGAGGTTGCAGTGAGGCGAGATTGTGCCACTGCACTCCAGCCTGGGCAACAGAGTGAGACTCTGTCTCAAAAAAATAAAAAAAAAAGAAGAAAATATCAACCTGAAATACATAAGTATATATTTATTTGTTATGTGTTATGACCGCTCTGCTTTCCAATTCACTATCTTCTGTCTACCTGCCCCATTTCTTTGTTTCTTTCCTTTTTTTCTGTAGAGACTGGGTCTCACTATGTTTTTCAGGCTGGTCTCAAATTCCTGGCCTCAAGTGATCCTCCCACCTTGGCCTCCCAGAGTGCTAGGATTATAGGTGTGAGCCACTGCTGGGCCTGCCCCATTTCTTGATGACTATATTTCCTTATTTCCTGCATTCATCTGCCCCACCCAACCCCACCTTTTTCCTTTAATCTTGCTGAGGTTACCAGTGACATTTGACAGCTGGGATTACAGGCATGAGCCACTGCGCCCGGCCAAAAATGTCTTATCTGGGTCAGGTGCAGTGGCGCAACCGCCTGTAATCCCAGCACTCTGGGAGGCTGAGATGGGTGGATCTCTTGAGCTTAGGAGTTCGAGACAAGCCTGAGCAACATGGCAAAACACCATTTCTACAAAAAAACAAAAAAATTAGCCTGGCATGGTGGTGCACGCCTGTAGTCCCAGCTACTCAGGAGACTGAGGTAGGAGAATGACTTGAGCCCAGGAGGAAGAGGTTGCAGTGAACTGACATTGCGCCACTGCACTCCAGCCTGGGCGACAGAGTAAGACCCCATTTCAAAAAAAACAAACAAAAAAAACACTTGTCAATATTTTGCCTATAATATATTGGTAAATTGTGTGTGTGTGTGTGTGTGTGTGTGTGTGTGTGTGTGTGTTTGAGACAGAGTCGGTCTGTCACTCAGGCTGGTGTGCAGTGGCACGATCTCGGCTCATCACAACCTCCGCCTCCTGGGTTCAAGTGATTCTTGTGCCTCCGCCACCTGAGTAGCTGGGACTACAGGCATGGGCCACCACGCCCAGCTAATTTTTTTTTTTTTTTTTTTTTTTTGTAGAGATGGGGTTTCACCATGTTGGCCAGGCTGGTCTCAAATTCCTGACCTCAGATGAGCCACCCACCTCAGCCTCCCAAAGTGCTGGGATTGCAGGTGTGAGCCACCGCACCCGGCCAGTGTGTTTTTTCAGTTGACATATTTGTATATATTTACCAGGTACAGTGTAATCTTTTGATGTATGTATGCATGGTGGAATGATTATATCAAGCAATGAAAATATTCATCACCTCACATGCTTACCATTTTTTTTTTGTAGTGAGAAAATCTACGGTTACTCTTTTAGTAATTTTGAAATGTGCAATACATTATTATCAAGTATGGTCACCATGCTGTGCAATAAATCTTGAAAACATATTCTTCCTCACTGAAACTTTGTACCTTTTGACCAACATCTCCAAGGTGATCGTTTTTGACTTGCAAATTTCCTATTCCATTTCAATGAAAGGGAAAGCAACACTAGTATCTTAAAAAATTGAAAAACAAAGTGTCTGTGCATAAAAAAAGAAGGATCCCTTTATCCCCATATTTCAGTATTATAAAGTCATGTTGGATAAATATGCTGAGAGAAATTTGCATTTTATTGCACACAAAAGAAAACTGGACACAATAATATAGGATATAAAATTAAGTCAAGAATTGGCCTTTAACAATTGTTTGTAGCTTGTTATGTAGTTAAATCTTTATGTTATTTGGTCTTGTCCTTATACGTGCATTGACTTCATGAAAATCAAATTTATAATCACTTGTATGTAATTCAGTGTAATCCATTTAACACAGTTCACGTGGAGGGTCTACTGGAGATTTGGCCTTTCACCCACATTTCCCCACTGCACAAATAACTCTTCTCTGAATTGTTGGATGTGCCATTTTAGTGATCAAGGGAGGACCCCTGGAACACAACTACCGATTGAAGCAGTTCCATTTTCACTGGGGGGCCATCGATGCCTGGGGTTCTGAGCACACCGTGGACAGCAAATGCTTCCCAGCAGAGGTATGTTGAGAAGGTCAGGAACAGTGACAACTGTAGAGAAGTGGGGATAATTCTGAACTTTTAGTTGTAAGAAATTCGCAGAAAGAATCAGGTGATTCCTATAAATGCTAAATAGCTTTCTCAGGCAGTTTTGATCATTCTCAGCTAAGACATGTAAACATGTTAACTTCTCTCATCTCAAATAATATAGTTGAAATGAACCTTAAGATCCTGAAACTGAATTCTTCTGGAATTCGAAGGTGGACTCAAATAGTAGCCCAAAGTAATAACCCAGGGAACATTGTGGAGCCACAGGTCGAATTAATGCAAGTTTGCGGTGGTGGGAGCCTAAATGAAGGCTGTGGCAATAGAAATAGAGAAAAGGAGCAAGATTTATCAAGCGTTTCGGAAATTAAAGCAACAGGACTTGAAGGTGGGGTTCTCTTCAGGATAGGAGAAGGCAAAGTTAACCATGATTTTGTGGTGTCTACACTTGGGAGGCTGGGTGATAATGCATTCATAACTGGTGGATGAGGAATAATTTATAGGGAAATAAAGGGAGATTTTAAGGAAATAGAATTGCTTCTTACAACTTTTTTCCTAATTCAGTTGTAAATGTTATGTGAAAATAAAAGCACATTTAAAAATTTATTTTATATTTGTTTCATTTTATTTTGTTTTGTGAGACAGGGTCTCACTCTGTCACCCAGGCTGGAGTGCAGTGGCACAATCACGGTTCACTGCAGCCTCAACCTTAAGCAATCCTCCCACCTCAGACAACAGGCGCTAATTTTTTTTTGTTTTTTTTTTGAGACGGAGTCTCGCTCTGTCGCCCAGGCTGGAGTGCAGTGGCATAATCTCAGCTCACTGCGAGCTCCACCTCCCAGGTTCACGCCATTCTCCTGCCTCAGCCTCCCGAGTAGCTGGAACTACAGGTGCCCACCACCACGCCTGGCTAATTTTTCGTATTTTTAGTAGACACAGGGTTTCACCGTGTTAGCCAGGCTGGTCTCGATTTCCTGACCTCGTAATCCAGCCGCCTCGGCCTCCCAAAGTGCTGGGATTACAGGCGTGAGCCACCGCGCCCGGCCTGCCCTGCTAATTTTTAAATTTTTTGGTAGAGACAGGGTTTCGCTATGTTGTCCAGGCTGGTCTCAAACTCCTGGGTTCAAGTGATTCTCCCACCTTGGCCTCCCAAAATGCTGAGATTACAGGTGTGAGCCACCACACCCAGCCTAAAAGCACATTTTAAATGGTTATTCCTTGAAGAAAAAGTTTGTCTTTAACTCCTG